GCTTAAGGGACAGTGTATCTAATTAATCCTTGGAGACACTGACTTTTCCATATTTTGTGATATACGTGTCACTTCCATTTCTGCTTCCATCTCTGTATCTCCAACTCTGGGGCTTTTATGCCAAAGGACCTCAAAATTCCTCCAATGACCAAAGTTAGGGTTCAGCTTGCATCTCAGGACAAAACAGCTTCACCTCACCAAAACAAGCCAGGTTCCCCGGGCATTTCATTACAGAATTGGCCTCTGGGAAAGGCGGGCGATGATGACATCATGAAAAACAAACCAGGCTTTATTGAACAAAGTTGACAAAAAAGTCATGTTTGGCAATGAAAGCGTGAATCAGAGGAGCTGTGTGGTGAAGTGAGATTTAATTTTAGCCAAATAGTATGTATTGTTATTCTCAAATTCCCATCTTTAGACGTGACAAGCTGACTTTGTCTTTGTTCATTTCCCTCAGTGGCAGTCAACACGACCTTGTCTTTGGGTGACAAACTGGACGTCTGACATCTTATTATGCTTGCTTCCTCTGTCACACAAATACAAACACATATACGCACACACTGCAACACAAAAAAAGTGCAGTGACAGTAAGTGATATGCCAGACGCTTTCTCATCATGAAGACTTATCATACACCCACATTATGGAGGCAGACATTGCAGGCAGGTGGACATGCACATGCACACACACACCTGTCTAGTGTTGAGGTTGTGTGGACAGTTGATCCCCAGACAGATTAGACTCCAAACTGAAATCTCCTCAGGCCAGCCCTCAAATCATGCGCATACACGCGGGCGCGCACACACACACACGTCTGACACATACGCTGTCAGAGCTTTAAAGTCAAAGACTTTCGACTGACAAAAGTGACTTGCCAGGAAAAAAAAAGTTGAGTAAAGTCTGAAGTCCAACTATTAGAGTTTATAGAAAACTTTTTTTTTAAAGACAAATCATTTTTGATCACTGATGCGTTACCTCTAGATGACCACATCTTGGACTTTAGGCATTAGTTATGCTTTTTTTTTAAATTTACAAAAAGTAATGTAGTAATTCTTGTAAATATTAGCATCATAAGTATAATAAATGTTTCTTTTTAATGTTGTACGATCTTGCATTACTGTTACTGAATTCAGTATTATATTAGAAAATATATAATACTTCATATATGTTCGATTACTTTGATTATCTGCATGGGAGATGCTCCTTTTTATGTTTGCTACAGTCTTTTTATCTCACTTTCCAGCGGGAGATGGGACAAAAACTAAATAACATTATACATGGGACATGTGTTACTACTGTCTCTACTCTACACCACAGAATAGTGTCAGAGTTCACAACAACAGCTATGTCAAAGCACTTTCTAGTAAAATAAAGACCCTACAATAGTAAAATAATATTAGAAAGAGAACTCCAAAAATCCTCTGTGAGCAGGTATGTGGAGACTGTGGGGAGGAAGAAATCCCATTTTACAGAAAAGACCTAAGGCAAAATCAGGTGGTGATGTTTCACAACACAGATCAGATAAAAAATTGTCCTGTTCGAACTTATTAACAATAATGCAAATAAAACTAGACTCCAAACGTTAATCCTGTTGAGGTTACAAATGTTCTAAAACCTGAGTCTAAATATCTCTATATGAACCTTTTTCCTGTGTCATCAGCATATATTAAATATTTCTTCTGCACCAGTATTATCAGCAACACACTTTTCTTAAGACTACAGAACTATGGCAAGAAAAAAGGTCTCCTGCCACCATTACTACAGTACATTCACAATATATGTTTTTCTATGACTTCAGGTTCTCAGCCGAGTCCATTATTACTGCTGAAGTTTCAGTTTTCTATGTAGGAGCAATGTACAAGGACAAGCGATTGATGGTTATGATTTGATTTTTCTTCTTATTTTTTAAACTTTTCTGCAGTCACACTAGCTTCAAGTTGAAATCAGCTAACCTTTGAGTGAAATCTAACTAACTCTACCCTAAGGGGATGCTAACCTGCACTAAGAGAATTTCATCAGAAAAATATTAGCACTGGCCTTCAAACGTTTTCATTGATCTCACTTGACGGACAAGATAAACTATGCTTTCAGATCAATAGTTCTCTCCAACACAGCTGACTGAAGCCTTCACTGAAAGCAACCCAGCATGGACGATTCTCTGTTCTCATATCTTGATCAGATGAAATGTGTTCAGGGCCACTATGTTTGATTTTATAACAGCTGCGGAGTGCTATTTCCAGCACATTTTATTATTTATCCACCATCCTCCATATCTTTTGATCTGAAGGAGGTACCACCCTGACTTCTACAAAGACACATTTTAGGAAAGTCCTTGAAAAAAGGCTGCGGTAGTCATTTAAAAGTAAGCTGCTTTTGATTGTTCTGTGAAATTGAGGTTTGGACACTGAGGAGGAAGTGACAAAGTGGGAGCATAGATTCAGCCTGACAATCATTTTTCACTTTGGCCTTTGTTTGTTTCCACTCTATAGATCAGAAAAATGCACTGAAATGTCTTGAACAATGCACAACACACATGTGCTTCTTAGACATTTGATTATCTTTATTTATCTCTCTTTTCCTCATCTGGTAATTGATTCTGAGAATATATTTAAAATATCGTTTCACATAACAAAACCCTTTTTGCACATTTTTAGTCACTTTTTTTGCCCACTTACTAATTATTTTCTAAAAATGTGTCTTTGCATAGGTTTGACTACCAGGAGCTACTTCATAACTCTACCTTCTGCCTGGTGCCACGGGGCCGGCGTCTTGGATCTTTCCGCTTCCTGGAGGCCTTGCAGGTACATCAGTCAATTGCGTGTGTATGGATAATGTCTTTAAATATTGTTGATTTGTCTATGTAGTTTTATACATACTTGTATAAAATATGTCATGAGTCACACCTCCATTCACCAGACGGTAGTGTGTATTTCACAACCAGTGGGTAAATGGTTGCTTGAGGTTTAATGCTATTAAGAGGTAAAAGTGTTTACAAATAGTGCTGCAGAGCTTAGTCTAGCAATCACTTGCCAACTGGTTGG